ATAATTGTGAATTTGTTTCGATATCTCTTCATTTGAGTTAATCAATTACTAATTAAATTTAAATTTATGCATATGTGTTTGGTTTTTTTCAGATTAATCTAAATGTTTATGTATTTGAAATGTAGTTGCACACACATAACATTTATACTTCTAAAAGTCTAATCGTGAGTGGTATTAAATGTTGAAATAATTGTATGACATACTTCTGCAAAGTCAACATGTTTTGATTTATGCGATGGTTTTTGCTACTTCAGTAGGTATATAATGTTACATAAGAAATTCTTTAACAGATAAACTTTTTTGTCTGGCTACGAATACGTACAGTACGTAAGACTGGTTTATAAATATAAATAAAAGAAATGTAACTAACAATTTAATGTACCTAGTACCACAATTTTTAAACTTATAAATACAGAGCGATTCATTTACGAATATGGTTTAGATAACACATTCGCTATGGCAATGGATTAGTGACAGCAGGATGTTATGTAATACCCCTCTATCTATTTACACAGCTATGTAGGGAGGAATTTGTTGATTGTTCTCTAGACATTAAAGAATCAAAATCAGAGGAAGTTGTGCGATAAATTTTTGCACCTACGCTGACTAATCGTTGAGAACAATCAAAAACAATGAATTTGTCATTCCGCTGACGTCATGTATGAAAACGAAATCCCTCGCTTGCGTTTTATTCTGAAAAAAAGTTTGATCGTTTAAAGGATGATGACGATGACTCATCTTGAGAGCGGACGAATTTATCATCAGCACTTGCAGACACGATCACAGCTTCGTCGGGCACAAGGCTCAACAAACTAGAGAGAAGATTGAATCCTTGACATCATGACCCACGCAGGGGAGAAAGTTTTTTAAGAAAAGGGCTAATATTTATTTAACAATCTTGTACGTTTACATACGAACGTTTTGTACCCATTATGAATTTTAATGATTTCGTGTTTTGACTTCAAATAACTTTATTACTAATTGTGCTGTTTGTAAGAAAAACTAAACTTCTTTACCTCTGTTTTTTCCAAGCGGGTTCGAATGCAGAAAATTTTACACTAACACTTGGACAAACTACATTTTATTGTTTACAAGAAAAATAATTTGCGAAAAATGAGCAGCAAAATAGGACAAATTATGTGGATAATTTATAATGACCTAATATCACTTTTGATGATGACGAAATGGTGCAAAGGAAATGTTTAAAAACTATTCTCGTACCTTATTATCGAATCAAATTCAATTGAGGACGTGTATTGAAATGATTAGTATTTTTTGTAAATAAATTACGCGCATGCCCTTAAAATAATACTTTTAATATCGTTCCAACAGCATTTTAAATAGAAAATAAATAACAAAATCTAAAAGTCTAAATAAAACTGTTTACACTATTTTTGTTTATTACAGGTATGGAAGCGCTAGAGACATCGATCAATTATTGGGAAGATGCTTTGGCCGCGTATCGTTCTCAAGAAACGAGTGGTGATGGTGCTTTGGCCGTTCTAGGCCCTGAAGAGACTGCTTTTTGTAAAGATCTCCAACAACTTTTAGAGAGCGCTCTCGAACTGCAAGAGAAATCGGAATTGCTGTTTTTAGACGAAAGGTCCGTTTTGTTCAAAGCCGGAAGCGGTACGCATCCATCGGATCCCGGAGTCGAAACCGAANCGAAAAAATGTTGATATTCCTCAGCGAACATGGAAATTGGAGGATCCTAGAAGAGGAACTTAGCGCCAAGGGCGTAAAAGCTTTAACGTTTTACGACGTCGTTTTGGATTACATCCTCATGGACGCCTTCGAGGACCTGGAGGCGCCTCCGTCGTCCGTCACGGCGGTAGTACAAAACCGATGGCTATCGAACGGTTTCAAAGAGACCGCTCTCACTACCGCCGTATGGTCCGTTCTGAAAGCCAAACGGCGAATGTTAAAATTCCCTAATGGTTTCATGGCTCATTTTTATACATTGTCGGAACAATTGTCGCCCTTGTTCGCATGGGGTTTCCTAGGTCCAGACGAAAACCTGAAAGACATCTGTATGTACTTCAAGGAACAAGTTTTAGGCTTTCTGTCGGATATTTTCAATTTTCAAAAGTGTAAATTCACAACAGAAGAAGAACTGGCTTCGGACGTCTTAATACATGTTAAAAAAAGGGCAGAAAATGTTTGTCGGAGATTTTATGTGCAAGCTTAGGAAACATTATTAAGTGAAGAAAAACGAAAGTATTGACAGGTAAAAAAAAACAGTTCATTTTCTTACAATTAAAGAAAAATTACGAGTTACGAATATTAGTTTTTGCGAATTTTCTTTTGCCAAACGATTGCTTATTATGTGCTCATTTAGAATCAATAATTAAAAGGTGATAAATATTAGTTTTTACTCATTTCTTCTTCTCAATATTACGCATATGTTGAACTTTAAGTTAAGTTGCCTTGGTTTGAAGTTTACAAATTTTTCCAACCATTTTTCATTTTAAAGTCACTTGTATTATTATGAGTGAGACTCAGGTATATTCAGTAACGCTCGTTGGGTTGCCTAAGCACTATACCTTTGCTTTTTATTATAAATCATTAATTACTTTATTGAGCTTTATTAAACAATTCGAGAACAATTTTCTGATGCCAATCGACCTTATTAAAATTTTTTGCGAAATTTGATAACGCAAATTACAGTTTTATTTAAATTAAATTTAAATTTTTGATTTAAATTAAGCAATTGCTCGACAACAGAAAAAATGTGAAAACTAATATTCATAACTATCACTTCCTGCGGTCGCAATATACGTGTGTACTGCAGTTATTGTTTTTTTACGGCTATTACAGTCAAGTTCCAGATGCTACTATTGTTAAAATTGGGTATTGATTTAAATGCGCATATTTATCGTAGGTATAATATAAAGTGATAGTATTTTACGAATGACGTAACAGCGTGAAGCAACTTTAATTATTATATTAACAAATACATATTTATTTATCGTGTTCTTCTCAATTAGAGCATTCCAGTTATTTTCAATGCGTATTAATTTCATACGCATGCACCACCTCAACTTTTTAAATCGTTAAAAAAAAGTTCAGAAAAATCATTACGTTTATTAGATGTTCTTTTAAATACATAAAGTATATAAGTTATGCGTATACGTAGCAGTCAATCAACGTATTTTTGTTGTTTTTGTAGACTTTTTAGGCGACTATTTAAGATGTATAAATGTTATACAGTACGAATGTGCATATTAAAGTATACTATATATATTATTATTATTATTATTGTAGTACTAGTGGAAACATATTTTCATTTGTTTTTAAATTTAGTTTAAATTTTATTTGTTTTGTTCTGTGTTAATAGCGTAAATCTGGATCCTTTGTGCAAATATGTAGTTTAAAAACGCGCCATTTTTATGCACCTCCCCTTCTATAGAGTGAACCAAGAATATCTGTTCTATGATTTTAACGTATTAGACGTAAATATTTTATATATAAGTGGACTGTCATTCAAAGTGGCTGTCACCTGATATAAACATTATTTATTAAAATGGCGAGTTCTTCAAGGTAAATTG